TAATTAAAAGGAGTCGACTCGTTTAAACTAACATAGTCCTCTTGCTGCAGCCAGGATTCTGTGAGAGAGAGAGCAAAGAAATCTGATTATCACAAATCAAGTCATTAATTAATAAAGTCTTGGAAAAATAGATCTAATGTTCAAAATCCCACATTTAATTTTTCTAATTTTCTGCTCAGTTGAATTTGTTCTAATATTTATGAGATTTCCATGATTTGCTTTATGAAGCCTGATATTTAATCTGTGTGATTTTGGCCGTGGGCAGTACACTGTCTCTATGGGGTAGTGGTAAGTCTGTTCCATTTACCATTTCCTTTGACCAAGGATAAACAGTGCCTTCGTAAGCAAGGCACCTGGCTTTGGAAGACATCGCCTTGTGGGGCCAGGCGCCTGGACATTGAGAAACACCCTAAGTCTCTGGGCGATTATTATATTAGTGGCCATGTTTCCTTCTACAGGAGCCCGTGAGGACAAAATGAATTTACATATTTGTAACAAATGGTAACAAAACTTTCCCCATTCATAAACGTTGTTTTACACATTTACATCTTCGCTCATTGCCAGTGATGAAAGGGAGTCCGATGTACTTGTCATTTTTGCTGGAGGTTGAACAATTTGACAAAGCACTTGTTCGGAAATTGCGCTCCCAGGGATTTTTGACCCTGATGGCCATCCGTTGGTAAGGTCCTACTCGAACACAAAAATGCTTGCATGCAATGATTTAGGTATGTACTTCCCCCTATTGCCAGGGAAAATACACACCTGTCACTCTAGAAGAAGAAAATCACCAAACTATTACAAATAAATAATATTTAAATCAGACTACTTTTTAAGAAAAGCAACTTAAAAAATTATCAAGTATCTTGTGAGAATACCATTTTAGGACATCATCAAGGATGAGGTAAGGTGGTATGATAACATTTGAGGCTGTTAGCTGTCTGGTTTGGGTGGAACCCTGATTTTATCTCAGCTGCTGTGCATCAGGTTGTGCTGACCCGAGGTCTTAATCCTGTTGTTTCTGCGGTTGGATCAGATCTGCCGCCCCCTGTTGTACCTCTTTCTGTCCACCAGGGGTCCGAAATTCTGAACATTTTGCTTTGTTGACCCTCTGACACACACCCACAAAGAAACTTATCAGGTTTTATTTAAGGAAACATTTGGAGTGATTTAGGCTGGCTGTTCAGAAAAAAACAACAACAACAAACAAACCTCTGATACGTTATCATGAGCAGACAAATTAATCAACAGGAAGAATGGACATGGAGATTGGAGGACAAAGAGATTAAAGAAAACCTAGAATTCAAGGACTTGTGGGAGTGTGTTTGATTTCTTCAGAAAAATAGGAGTTCACATCTTTTCAAGGATAAAACATGTTTGAAAAAAATAAGTTAGATAGTTTGTAAAATTTTAGGTCATCCATTCCATTCTACGTGGAGAGAAAAGCAGGAAACATAAAAAATAAAAGATGTTTTGTGAAAATCAGTTTGGAAAAAGGACAGAAACACAATTAAAGGATTAACTGTGGATGGCATTAGCATAACTAGGAAGAGGGTGGACGCGAGTGTGTGTGCAGTTATTTTCTTGTTTGAAATGTTTTTCTAATAGTTGAAAAAAAAATCACAAGCTGTGGTTGAGTGTTTGGGGTCATGGGGTCGACCTGGAATGCTAATAGTTTTATTGAACCATGTGGAGTTTGTCCTCCTGAAACCTGCAAGACAAAGCTGAGGGACAATATCCAAGTCAGACATTTGCAGTTAAAATGTAAAGCAACTTTATTAAATAAGGGTTATTTAAATGCACGCACACGCACACACGCGCACACACGCACACACACACACACACACACACACACACACACACACACACACACACATTAAAATCTTCTGCCATTGTGAAAGAAGTTCATAATATTGCCAAAGGAACACATTTTTTGGCGTTAGCATGTTTGTTTGGCTCATGGGGGCTGGTTTATCTCTCCAGTGGTTGGTCTCGTTGGGCGAGGGGCAGGGTTCACCTTGTGCATCAGTTCATCACAGAAACAAACAACCATGAATGCACTCATTCTTTACCCAGAGCCAGTTTAGTCATCAGTCAACCTAACATGAATGTTTTTGGTCTCTGGGAAGAAACCACGGTCTGGTTGGTCAATTTTTACCCAAAAAAGGTTTGGAACACAGTTTGTCTGAACCACATCGATGTTTGTATTATGACTCATTCCTGATATCACAGAGCCAGAAACTGATCTAGGAGGCATTTATGAATATCAGCAGCTTGACAAAGGTTCCTTTGACCAGTCAGTGTCTGCACCAGCTAATGATCTCAGATAATAATAATCTCCTCACTCGTCACACATTCTGGGGTGGCTAGTTCATTCATCTTCTCATGGTTGTGTTCTGATCAATCCATCAGCTTTACAGGTTTACAACCAAAACATAAATTCAGCCTGTTTTAAGAGCTGCATCAGCTTTTAGTTGTGCTTCTGATTTTTTAATGGAAATTCAGGAAGATACCGACAAACTTTCTTTTACACAGGTGCTTCACACACTTCTTATTCCACATATAATTGTTTTAATGTGTTTGAAAACTCTGATTTATTCATTAATACTAGAACTCCCAGAGAGTTGTCATTTGACTGGGCTATTGTTATCTAGGATTCTTAATCACTTGTGGATGGTTGCCTTTGTTCCGTAACTGTGGCCAAAATGTGTGCCAAAGGTTCTTGTAGTAAACTGTCCTTCTTATTGCCAAGTTTACATTGTCATCACAGTTCACAATCCCGCCCACCGTCCAACACACCACACCCAAGTCTGTGTATTAGTATGACTTGTTTTATACACCTAAAAAGCAGCTTTATCATAGATGTTTGGAGCCATCTTTTCAAATGCAACTGTAGCAAGTTCATCTGCTAAAAGTCACCTATTCACAATTAGCTGAACAGTTCAAGTCAGCCTTGTAATTATCCTGCCTGAGGCTCTAATGGCAGGCCTCCGTTGTTGTTGGTTGGTTGTGATTTCTGGCCAGAATACACTTCCTACTCGGTTTATGTAACCATACACAAAAGGCATAACAGAAAATAATGGCAACAATGAAAACACACAACATAAGTACACCAACAAAACCATACATTACAGTTAGAAAAAGATTTGTACGCCCCGAAGACAAGATATCAGCAGATTACAAATGTGGAGTCGTATATAAAATCCCATGCAAACTATGCAGTAAAACAGACATTGGTGATGCCGGACGGCAACTCAACACACAAACAGGAAAGGAAGTGATGCCACTAACAGTGTCAAAACTCTAAAGAAAGCTGCAGTGAAAGTCGAAACATCAGTAAAAATAAGGTAAAAATAACACTTTTTCTGTGTTCAAAAAAGAACCATATTGCAGTGCAAACATGAAGATTACTGAAACTGAAAAGCTAGGAGAACATAAGGATAAACTAACAAACTGATAAATCTTAACACCAAAAACAGGATCTGACAAAGTAAATCAAAGAGCAGAGAGGATAAACACAATTGGAAAAAACTAGAACAGGAGAATAGACTCTAAACAAAAAATAAAAATAAAATAAAACTGCAAAAAATGCAGTGCTCCAAGGCACAAAAATGGAAGCTAAATAAAACATGAAAATCCAAAAATTACACAAAAAATAAGAAAGTGAAAACTGATGAGAAGTAAAAACTGAAATTATCAGAGGCTAGGGCTGGGAATAGCTCTACTGACACTGTAAAAAGGGTGTGAGTGTGAAAGCTGAAAGATATTAAATAGAAGGACAGAAAGCGCAATGATGAAAAGGCGAGAGACATGGAAGAAACATGGGAGAGGACAGAGGACATGAACAACTCCACATTTTTTAGGATCCCATGCTAACCTTTTTTTAATTTTTGTTCTCATTTTTTTTATCTTAATTCTTCATTTTATCTTCAATTTTTTATCATATTTTACTTCTTTAATAAATGTAATTGTTGTTTTGAAGCGACTCATGCTTTTTTTTTTAATTAAGCGCTATATAAAAAAAACCCTTTCTTGTCCTTTGTGTGCTTAAGTCTTTGGATGGACAAGTTCAGTAGACCAGATTGAAGACAGGAGAGAGATAAGTAGAGCCGCTGGGCCAGCCTGAAAGACTGACAACCCCCAACACCCAAGCACATTCCACTGGCTCATCTGTGGTTGAAAGGCAGCAAACTATCAGTGATTTAGTCATTAGTTATCAAACCAAGCAGTCATTTGACAAAGCTCTGGTACAGCTGGGGGAATCAGAAAATGCTGGGTGTTCTAGTGTTGATTAACATGACAAAAGTTATTTGTTTAACTATAACAAAAAACAAAAAAATATGCACATTGGCGAAATTTCATCTTTTAGTGGAACAGTTGTAACATGTCATATCAGTTAATGTAATATCTGAGTTTTCTTTACTGATACCATATCAGGTCTGTGTCATGTCATCACCTTTTTCTTGGAACGAAAAAGCAAACGTCCCAAAGAAATGCTAAGATAATGCATATTCTCAGCATGTCAGAGTATAAAAATATATACACATAAGATCATTTAATTAGACTTTTTTCTTTAGAAAACTACTTTGAACCAGTGCAATAAAAATGCAATACTCCAGAGGAAGGTTACAGTTAAAAATACTATTAAGAATAAAACTGAGCAGAAAATCTCAGCCGAACTAAAATGACTAACTCACAATGGACAAGTCCTGACAAGTGAGAGCCAGGGGCAAAATGGGGACAGGTGTAAGTGAAATGATTTCTAAACAATGTCCAGGTGAGGGAGGCAGAAGCATGGCTGAAACACAACACATTTATTCCAAACATATTACTTGAGGACCAAGAAGTGAAACTCTTATTCTCAAAAAAAAAAAAAAAAAAAAGAGTTTTTGGTTTTGAGTTGTCTTTAACCCACCTGTAGAGTACACTTCTCATAATAATGGGATTATGATGTAGATTCAAACTATAGATTAACAATCGTTTATTTATTGACCAAAGGGCTAAAGTGTGTTGGAGGTGGGTGGGATGAAACAGAAACTTTAGCAGAACTTGAGGAGAACCTGCGCTCATTCCCTCCTGCTCCACCATGAACGCCGAGTCTCCTGCTGCAGACAAAGTCCTCGACTACGAAGGTGCGACAGCCTTCCTCGGTCAGTGGGGACGCTTCCAGCGGAACGTGCTCTTCCTCCTCTCCGTGACCGTCATCCCCAATGGGTTAATCGCCATGTCCACGGTGTTTCTGACGGACACGCCGGCGCACCGCTGCCTCCTGCCCGCGCACCTGAACCTGAGCGCAGCGTGGAGGAACAGCAGCATTCCGCAGGAGGAGGATGTGAGCGGCGCTCTGGTGCCCAGCAAGTGCTCCAGATACAGACTGGAATCTATGCTGGATTACTCGGAGAGAGGTTTGCTGCCCGGTGTTGATGTTAATCTGTCAAATGTGCCGAAAGAGAGTTGCCTGGACGGATGGGAGTACGACCACAGCGTGTACACCTCCACCATCGTGTCTGAGGTGTGTCCACCTTTCATTATAGGAGTCTGCTGCAAGGAGCCCCTCTCACCTGGTCATATTTTCATCAGTTTAAATCATATATTGTTTAAATAAACTAATTTAATAATTCACAATCATGACAAATATTAAATTACCCTTTTTTGACAATTTGGTCACGATTTGTGTCTGCTTTCTCACTCTGCAACTTAAAACAAGCACAATGAGCACATCAGGGGTGTTTGAATGGAACATGTGAGAAAACTCCACCCCCTTTCAAAGCTCTACTGCTCATCCCTCACATGTTCAAAGTTTAAATAGGTAACAGGTTTGGCGTTTGTGTGGTGACCTTAGGGCAGCTTTAAACCCAGCAACCCTGGTCCTGGAGAGCAGGTTTCCAGAAGGTTTCCCTGCTTCACAGATAATTCACTAGCTCTGCTGAAGCCTGTTAATCACATCAGGTGTGTTGATGCAGAAACGACTGAAACATCCAGCATGTTTTGATGGTTTCTCTGCTCCAACCATGGATGTAGTTTTTTTAAGTCAATTTTTGTCCCCTTCGCTTTTTACTGTTCTAAAACAACAATACGCTCTATTAAAGTAAACTGGTTGAGCACTAGGACCAAGCGGAAAACAACCGCTTGTGTTGAAACCCGTTTCCTATCAGAACCATCCATGAGCTCATCTATTGGCTCTGCTGACACTTGTAACGTGTGATTGGCTGTTCCTGTCACCTGTGTACTTGACAGTTCTGCATTCTTGACATTGCATAAAAGAGCCTCTATAGATTGTAGTTCAACACATTTGCTGTATACTTACGGTAAAGACACCCCCACACTCACTTCTAAAGTCAAAATGGCTCCAACCCACCTGATTTTATTTCGTAGGAGAGTAACAGCTTCTTAAGAACTTTAAGACCTGCTGAACAGGTAATTCAACTGCTGAGTCAGGTGTGTTGAAGCAGGGAAACGGCTAAAGCATGCTGGATAGGGGCTCTTAAAGACATGGGATGGGCTCCCCTTTCATCAAAATGTTGGAGTTTTGGGAAGCAGCATCTTTAAAAATGTATATTTTAGTTGCATTTCTTTACTTGATGGTTTGTTTTAGATTCTTGCTGAGGAATACTTGCATAATTTTGACATTGTGTTAATCTTACCTGTGTTTCGTGCAGTGGAACCTGGTGTGTGATGAAAGTTGGAAGAAGCCCCTCACCACTTCATTATTTTTCTTTGGCGTTCTCACTGGCTCCTTCTTGTCAGGACAGCTATCTGACAGGTCTGTGCAAAAGAGTTTCTATTAAAGATTGGATAAAACATAATTTAACAGAAAGGACACAATGTGTAAAAATGCGTCAGCATACATTGTGTTCCCCAGGGTCCTGTACCAAGACCATAATTATTCAGTATGCATATAAATTATATCTTTAATATATCTTAATTGGTAAGATGTATTCTCTTTGCTGATGACACTAATGTATTTTACTGTAATAGTTATAATGTGTTTGAGAAATTGTGAGGAACTAAATGTGGTTTAACGGTGGTTGGACCTAAACAAACTGTCCTTAATCATGGGTAAAGCAAAGTCTATTTCAGCTAAAATGAAACCGACATTTTACTTAAATAAATAAAGTATCCAAATTGAGTCTGTAAATGATAAATTTTTGGGGGGAATTATAATAGTAACTTGACATGGAAACTCCATGTAAGACACACAAAAACAAAAAATCTCCAAAGGCCTCTCAATCTTAAATAGAATTAAACCAGAAAATGTACCATTTCTGTATACTGTACGCTGGCGCGCCCATACTTAACGTGTTGTGTTGAAATGTGGGAAAATACTTATCGAAGCAAACAAACAAATTCATAATATTGCTGAAACCACCAGTGCAGATCATCCACTAAGTTGAGTTTTTAGATCATACTCATCACTTGTTCATCCAGTCCAGATTGCATAATTTTCTTGAACTTGTGAAACACAATACGATTGTAATTGATACAATAAATTAATCCCAGTAAATCTATAACAAGTCTTTACAATTTGAGAAAACGCATAACTTCAGAGGACTTTCTAATTCCTGAATTCAGAACTACATGTAAATGGTTTTATGTGTCAGTGCGTGCCATGAAATTGTGGAACGGTCTGGAAACACACCTTAAGCAATGGCCAAATATTCACCAATTTAAACAGTCATACAAACGTAAGGTCAGGTCACAATAGGAAGTGTCTTAAAGGCCCAGCGTGTGATATTTTTACCAGTTTACTATCAAATCTTGTGTTTCCAGTTCACAAACTTGTCCTTTTTCACTAATATTTCTCACCAACATCAATTCTAAATATTCATCTCAACTTGAAATTATACATTTTTATATACATAAACTGTGGCCGAGGCTCCATGGTCATCCACCATCTTAAAATACAGTAGCTGTTTAGGGACATACAAGCTCCACTTTACCCATTTGGACTATGACTGTAACCTGAAAGAACCAGTAGAGGGCAGCAGTGCGCCCTGGAAGCATGAAGTCTGCTAATTCAACTGAGAAATAGAACAGAATAGCTACACCGTTGCTGTACTTGCTAGTTTGAATAATTAACAATTAAATCAAAAGACACTTAAAAATTGTCAGTTCGTCATCATGTCCAACACAAGGAAGCCGCATATGTTCAGACCCCCGCCCGCTATTAGCTGGATGCCAACCTCCAATCAGTGTCTCTGCCATCTTTTCCTAGCACCAGAACTCCCGATCCGGTCCCCGGCTCACCAACACTCCTTCACCAGCCGTGGTTAACGATCAGCCAATGATCGCTCCATATCCACATAAGCTGGTAGCGCCAGCCACTTTGTTTACATCGAACGCACCGTGATCCACGTGAAAGGGGTGTTGTGGGAAATTAAATTCCCCTGAAATATTCTGTTTCTCTTAGGCAGTCAAGAGCAAATGTTTCCAAATTCACAGAACTTATTGTCCATTATGAGGACTAAACTACCTCAAATAAAAGTTGAGCGAGATTACTTCTTTTTACATAACTTTCACAAATGATAAATACGCTTGCTGCAAAAGAGTGAACAAGAATGTTTTTACTGTAATTTTTTTGTTTTTAGGAGGAAATATAGATAAAAAATCACAAGCATAACATTATTACATTACATTACATCATTTTCCTGTAAACGTCGATCACAAATGTTGTGAAAATAGCCAGAAGTGCGATCTCCGGACACGGACGGGACAGAATATTTCAGGGGAACACAATTTCTCACAACACCTGACCTCCCGGCTGATGTCACCCCTCCGTGAATCATGACAGCTTCAAGATTTAACAGAACTAGCTTACTTCCTTCAGAACTGGTAGTTTGATGAAACAGTCATAATTATGAATGCTTTTTTAAAGAGGTCGAGTAGCCTGTTTTAAGCTTTGTGTGGGTTAGGCTACACAGGTTGGAAATTGGTTATACAGTCAAACTCATGAGTGAGCCACTGTAGCTGCAATACTTTCTCTGAACTGCGTGGCGCTTAAGAGTCACATTTTTTCATGATTTCAATGGATTTCACACATGGGGCCTTTAAATGTACATCTGTAGTTTGCTTTGTGTGTTCTGGTCATTCTCCATTGTTTTTACATTTATTTTGTATTTATTTACAGTTGAATATTGTAGTTGAGTTGTTGTTTATTATTGCTATTACTCATAATGGTGAAAAGCGGTGAAGCGTACAGAACATGTTATGAGTAAATAGGGTGAAATTAAACAAGTTTCTTGTTCCCACTCCCTTTCAGGCACACAATATCAGTGCTTATTAACTATGATGTGTACATATTTTGGAGGTGGTCTGTCGCCTAGATTGTAAATGTGGATGCCTGGAATAAAAATATTAATTAAAAAAAAAGTTAAAAGAGGTTGTCTGTCAAAACAGAAGGAATTTCTTCCGGTAAGCTGATAATTACAATTGTCCCACAGTGCAGTTTCCAATTTGAGCTCGACTTTGCTTGAAGTTAATCATTGCTAAAACTTTCACCCATAAAAAAGTTTTAAAATTTTTGTTTTTTTTCATTTTTTGTCTTAATGGAGACCTAACTTTTTTCTTAAGGTACAATAGTCATGAAAATTCTTACAATAGTTTCTGACAGTTTCAGTATCTTCCAGAATGAGCTGTTTCATGGCTCTTGTCATTTTAAGAGAACAAGCTAGACCTGGCCACACCCACCCAGCCACGCTCGCTGAGAAGCTAAAATATCCCTGTTTGTGATGTCATAAATGGGGACTTTTGGGAATGGAGTGTTTCAGCCATGAAATTCCTAAAACCAGACACTGACAGACAACAGGTGGATGTTTTTTTCACAGTTGGAGTGTTTATAGAGGTAGAGATCCACCTGGCAGCACAAAAGGACGCATCATGTTTTGTTTTGTGCATTATACCCCCTTTGCACATTTAGAAGGAATAATAAAACAGGTGTTTGGAAACCCAGTTTTTGTTGTGGTAATATTATACTGTAATGTGGGGAAACTTTTTTTTTTTACCGATTTCAACAAAGACCAATCTGTGTCAACCTTTCTTAGCTCCTCAAGCTACCTTTTAAGTTGTATTCAATCAAATCTTTAATAAAACATTTTCTTCAAGTTTGTTTTAGAAAAATTGATTAGTGAGTCTGCATAACCGTGCAGAAATTCAGGGAATCTGTGCATGTGTGATTAACCAGTTCTTTATTTCACATCCTTTTCAGATACGGGAGGAAAGTGGTGCTGTTTGTCTCCATCGTACTCCAGGCAGTGTCCTCATTCATTCAGATTTTCTCTCAGAGCTGGACCATGTTCTGTGTCTTGTATTATATTCTCGGAGTGGAAGAAATTGCAACATATCTGGTCGCATTTGTTTTGGGTACATCACTGTTTCTATTTTGAATTAGTTCTTAATGAATCAAGGGGAAAAAAGTCTAACTGAACCTGTTTCAAACCTTAAGGAACTGAGATTTTAGGTCCACGTGCCAGAACCATTTTCGCTACCGCTGGGGTGTGTGTGTGCTTTGCTGTGGGCTACATGCTTCTGCCGCTGATTGCGTTCTTCATCAGGGACTGGAGGATGCTTCTCTTTGGCATTACGTTACCAGGCTGCATCCGTGTGGCTTTCTGGTGGTAGGTAGGTCCATGTTCGTGTGTCTGTTGATGTTCAACTGTTGTAAAACATTTTTGACCTCTTCCTTTCCAAAATGGTTGCTAAATCAGTATAGCAGTATATGTTGTGTCAGGAATGTAATCACTTATTCACTCAAAGTAAGGCTGCTGCAAATGATGTTTGCGAGAAGAATCTGATGCTGTTCCCTTGGGGCAGAGGGACATGCATTAACAGACTTGTTAGAGGAGGTGTCACTAACCTATAGTTAACATGCTGAGACCCGAGGAGAACGTAGCTCTTGGGGTTTTGCAAATTCCGTGACAACTTCCATATTTTAACTTGTTGCAAAGTAAGCTTTTCATTCAATTTGCAGAATTTCCAAGAGTCTTTCTTCCTGTAGTGAGGATTTCTAGGTTGTACCTGTTATTGTTTATTTTAATACCAATGCTGATGATCACCTTTTGGCCTTTTTTACTGTTGCAAACTGAGACAGGTTTGTTCCAGAGTCTCCACGGTGGCTGATCTCGCAGGGAAAACTTGAAGAAGCAGAGACCATCATTTTAAATGCTGCTAAGCTGAACAACATTGAGCCTCCAGTGGCCATCTTTAGTCCTTTAGCGGTAAGATCAGCTGGAGTTGAGCTGTTGATCTGTTTCTGTTGTCCTTAAAGCCATGGGGTTCTAAAAGATGAAGAAAAGCAAACCTGTTTTTAATTATTTCTAGACTCTCCAATGCTCTTCAACTTCTTTGAAACTTAAGTCACAAATCACGAGCTTTACACTCCAGTGGCATGCCATTTTAATTTCTTATAAACCACAAACTCTCAGGAGGGTTAAGCCTAGTTTACTTCTCTGTCTGCAACGCCGTGATCTGTTGACACAATCACTCTGCAGCAGGCCAGAGGGTTTGCCCAAAGCTGCAGAGATGAAGTATAGTCTAGGCTTTAGAAAGCTGGTCTTGTATGATGGAATCTGGTACTCATTACTGTAAGATATCAGTTAATGGTGACCAGCATGGTGGTGCAGCTAGTAGCACTGTTGCATTGCAGCAAGAAGGTTGAAGGTTTGAATCCCAACTGGGGCATTTCTGTGTGGAGTTTGCATGTCCTCCTCATTCATGTATACTTTTTCTCACAGCACAGTGAAATTCTGCTCATAACTCATGGGGGTACTCGCATAGTCTTTTATTTATTTATTTACTTTTAACACTTCTCTGCACACAAAGGCAAGGATGTCAAGGAAGTGTGTTTGTTGTGTAATCAAATAAAAACGGAATTCTCAAACCCCCAGTTGACTTACCACTTCAGACTCCAATCCCCATAAACCCCTGTGTGTCCTCCAACTATGGCAAGCCTCAAGGACAACTGACATAAACATGGCAACAGTCTTCTCTCTTCCAGAATTCTGGATTTGGAGGACTGATGTGTTAGGGTTAAGGTTAGTCCAGTGTGTTGCTATCATGTACAGTGTGATCAGTTGGGTCACATCAGATCATGTTTGACACCATGATCCATGACCTGTGACCTGTGACCAGAGCTGAATACAACTGGAAAAAGTCAGAGCGTATGTCTGACTTAACATAATCCTGAATAAGAATTCCTTTGGAAAAAAAAAAAAAAGATGACATGATACTTTACATGTGCTGGCCAGTAAATTAGAATATCATCAAAAGGTTGAAAATATTTCAGTAATTCCATTCAAAACGTGAAACTTGTACATTATATTCATGCAATGCACACAGACCAATGTATTTCCAATGTTCATTACATTTAAATTTGATATTCATAAGTGACAACTAATGAAAACTCCAAATTTGGTATCTCAAAAAATTAGAATATTCTGAAAAGGCTGAATATAGAAGACACCTGCTGCCACTCTAATCAGCTGATTTACTCAAAACACCTGCAAAGGCCTTTAAAAGGTCCCTCAGTCTTGTTTTGAAGGCACCACAATCATGGGGAAGACTTCTGACTTAACAGCTGTCCAAAAGACAATCATTGACACCTTGCACAAGGAGGGCAAGACACAAAAGGTGATTGCTAAAGAAGCTGGCTGTTCGCAGAGCTCTGTGTCCAAGCACATTAACAGACAGGCGAAGGGACGGAAAAAATGTGGTAGAAAAAAGTGTACAAGCTCTAGGGATAACCGCACCCTGCAGAGAATTGTGACGACAAACCCATTCAAAAATGTGGGGGAGATCCACAAAGAGTGGACTGCAGCTGGAGTCAGCGCTTCAAGAACCACCACGAGGAGACTCATGAAAGACATGGGATTCAGGTGTCGCATTCCGTGTGTCAAGCCACTCTTGAACAAGAAACAGCGCAAGAAGCGTCTCGCCTGGGCCAAGGACAAAAAGGACTGGACTGATGCTGAGTGGTCCAAAGTTATGTTTTCTGATGAAAGCAAGTTCTGCATTTCCTTTGGAAATCAAGGACCCAGAGTCTGGAGGAAGAGCGGAGAAGCACAGAATCCACGTTGCATGAGGTCCAGTGTAAAGTTTCCACCGTCAGTGATGGTGTGGGGTGCCATGTCATCTGCCGGTGTTGGCCCACTCTGTTTCCTGAGGTCCAGGGTCAATGCAGCCGTCTACCAGGAAGTTTTAGAGCACTTCATGCTTCCTGCTGCTGACCAACTTTATGGGGATGCAGACTTCACCTTTCAACAGGACTTGGCACCTGCACACAGTGCCAAAACCACCAGCACCTGGTTCAAGGACCATGGTATCCCTGTCCTTGATTGGCCAGCAAACTCGCCTGACCTTAACCCCATAGAAAATCTATGGGTGAAGCGGAGGATGCAATACGCTAGACCCAACAATGCAGAGGAGCTGAAGACGACTATCAGAGCAACCTGGGCTCTCATAACACCTGAGCAGTGCCACAGACTGATCGAGTCCATGCCACGCCGCATTACTGCAGTTATTGAGGCAAAAGGAGCCCCGACTAAGTATTGAGTGCTATACATGCACATTCTTTTCATGTTCATTCTTTTCAGTTGGCCAACATTAGAGAAACAAACATTTTTTCATTGGCCTTTAGAATATTCTAATTGTCTGAGATACCAGATTTGATGTTTTCATTGGTTGTCACCTATAAATATCAAAATTAAACGTAATAAACATCGGAAATACATTGGTCTGTGTGCATTGCATGAATATAATGTACAAGTTTCACGTTTTGAATGGAATTACTGAAATATTTTCAACCTTTTGATGATATTCTAATTTACTGGCCAGCACCTGTAGTCAACTGTGAGTCAATTACACAAGCATGGAAGAGGTATTTTTTTAGTCTTGAATACAGTTCTTGAGTGAATATTACTTTGTGATCCATTTGAGAATCAAATGGAAGTGCAAAACCTTAATTTGCACCTGCAAAATACATCCTGCTGATTTGTGGATTTAAGCTCAGATATTTTAGCACTTCGTTTCTTCATTTATCGATATACACTGCTCAGACCACTTAAACAGCACAATGCAACTCCAAGTCAATCACACTTCTGTGAAATTAAACTGTCCACTTAGGAAGCAACACGGATCAATCCAACTATTGCTTTTTATTTTTTAATCATAATAATTTATATGGATGCATGAAAATCCAGCATTACTAATGACAGACTGCTTTCCTAAGCTTTTCCGTTGAGTTCACATTTCAACTCAGACATGTTTATGTCTCCCAGCAAGAGGCTGAGGCCTCAAAGCATCACTCTCATTACATTATTTCTAGACGAATGGCTCAGCTTTTTAATGTTTGTTGTTGTTCCTCACACTACGTTGGCTCACAGAATGAAGCAGATTCTAAGGACAAGAGGGCCCACAACATCTGTGACCTGCTACGTTCTTCAAACATCCGCTGGATTTCTGTCATGCTGTGGCTGATCTGGTGAGTCCCTGCTGGCGCAGCTTGCTGTCACATTCCGCACTAGGACTACACACACACACACACACACACACACACAAGCACACACACACACACACACACACACACACACACACACACACACACACACCATGCACACTGTACTGTGCACATGCAGTTTTTGTCTCGACGTGTCATTTCGACTACATTTCAGCTCCATAAATAATGACCCGTCGGGTGCTGTGAAGGTTGCAGCGAAGATCAAAATCAGGTTTTGTGTAATTGCACAGCATGTGTGTACTTGTCCCACAAACGTGAAACCCGTGAGATGCATTTGTGATTATTTAAAAATTGTGTTGGAAATGGCAAACTTTTAGATACTTGTCCTACAGTTGTTAAAAATACTGACAAACTTCACATGTTTTACGGAAAATTCAAAATTGACTAATATTTTTGAAACAAAATGGGCAACACTGCACCGTCCCAAAATCTAAACAAATGCACGGAACGCCTTACAACCATTTATCTGGATTTGCACCAATTGAGAAACCTACATTTCATCATCAATAATGAAGAAGTGAAGTCTTTTAAGCTAGACCGCACCAATCTGTCTACGCTATACTGAACTGGTGGAGGATTCCATGCTCTCACAGTAGTAGTAGTAAATATTATTCAGCAGTAATGATGTTTAATGAAATGTGAAGTTAAAGGTGTGGTTGACTGAAAGCAATTTTTTTAATGTTTTTCTGATTATGATTGGTCACTCTTGAATTTTTCATGCAGGCTAAACATGAAAACGGTCTCCTGCATTAGCTTCTGATAGAAAATGTGAAAATCTAGGATTAGAAAACCCTCAGATCTGTCACTGTGAATTCAGCATACTCGAGACGTGGAAGGCTTTTGTTGTTTGAATGTTGGGTAATCAGCAGAGAACAGTTTGGATAGTTTAAGCTAACCAATAGCATCAGCAACACGACTACACAACAGAAGCTCCTCCAGGATTGTGATATTTGTGGAGATAAAACATCTACGCTGCAAGTCAGTGATAGTCACGTTGCCATTATCAGTCTGGGGCCAGATGTCCTAATGTCAGGAAATGAGGCTCCTAAACCTGCCGTCTGAAGCTCAGCTGTGATGTGGGCAGCTTTTAGTCTTTGAGAAATAGTGCACAGATACATCTTCCCTCCCAAGAATGATTTACAAAGCATTCATTCCTACTAGAGACCACCGCAAATGTATTGATGAAATGTGTCAATCACTCCTTCCAATGTATCATTTTTTGGCAAACACAAAACTACTGAGGACATTAAGCTACAGTTGCAGTAATTGTGCACTTCCCTATTTTTCTTTTATATGAAATAAAGATGTTTTGTTTATGCTCCACGCAGGAACACCCTTACCATCGCCTACTTTGCCCTTTCCCTGAACACGGGAAACCTCCATGGGAATGCGTTCTTCAACTGTTTCCTGTCGGCCATGGTAGAGATGCCGGCCTACGCCTTGTCATGGGCTATGTTCCATTGGTTTCCCAGACGGTGGAGTCTTTTCTCAACTCTTGTCGCAGGAGGGTTGTTTCTACTCATCATACAGCTTGTACCAGCAAGTATGTATCAAATCTGGCAGCCTTTTAACACCACCTTATTTTAAGGATACGTTTAACCTCTTATTGTTTTTGTCCCAACAGACTTGGTTTTTCTATCCATCACATTTGAGATGATGGGGAAATTTTCAGTGTCGACTGCGTTTGCTGTTGCATATGCGTACACAGCAGAACTCTACCCAACTGTATTGAGGAACACGTCTGTTGGCGCCTGCTCAATGGCTTCCAGAATAGGCAGCATTATTGCACCCTATTTTGTTCATTTAAGTAAGTTTTGTTCATATTCCTCCAGTATCCCAGTGAGTTTCGTTGATGAATGTCTGCAAAAATCTCTTTTAGTTTTATTAGAATGTTTTTTTTTGTTCCAGTAATAAGTGGAAAGTTTCAAATGATGTCTGAAACATTTCTGATGAAATTTTGTGCCGTGTCAAGTAACTGTCTGAAGGAAAAAAATCAAAGTTAATCTAGCATCAACACAGGAACACAGACTTTTTATTAGAAATCAAGTCCCAAACAAACATTTTCTGTAGAAGCTGTGCCTAAATAATTCTTCAACCATGAGTGGCAGAGTGTTCTGGTGGTTACACATTTAGATTTCATGCTGGTCTTTGTAACGGCAGGAAATGACACCCTAAAACCTATAAAAGCCTCTGTCGGCAATAAAAACCACCTCAAATTTAGACACAGAACTCCTGCTTTAGTCCTTTAAAACCCTCATTTGCAAGGTTTTCACGACTTGTTGGTGTGTGTTCAGCAGCTCTGTAGTACCATTGTAGCCAAGGTTGTTTTTCAGTCTCCCCCTTCTATGATGTTCCACCACAGGAACCTATTCCGTTTCACTGCCTTACATCCTGATGGGGAGCCTCACAGGTCTGGCAGGGTTGCTGAGTCTCCTGCTGCCCGAGAGCTTTGGAATGCCTCTGCCTGAAACCATTAATCACATGCAGCACTTCCCTGGGTAAAACCGCCTCTGCTACACCTCCATCTCGGTGCATCCTTTAAGAGTCTTTTTACATTTTGCAATAGTTGTTTCAGATTAAAAAATAACAATAATAATTTAAAGAAATTGGCAAACGAATTGGATCTGCATATTCTAATGCAGCAAATGACTGTGAATTATTCAGTATTTTTTTTAAATATTTTTTATAAAAGCTTATTTCCATTTGTTATAACATTCCTAACCGGTAAACCATGCAAAAAGGTGTCTCTAAACAAACACAGACAGTTTCTCCTAAAGAGTTTGGCCTGAAGGTACAGCACTCACCTGATCAACAAGTAGTCCCTGTTTTTAGTTTGGGAAAACACTAACAAAAGCACGTAACAGCAAGACGTTTCATAATTAGACCAATCTGGACCAACTGTTTTAGGTTTTTGGAACATGTCCATCACTCCCAAAATGGTGCCAAACTGATTAAAAGTGAGCAAAAATAAAAACAAGGATTTAATAGGGAATAAATGAACAAAATAATTTCTGCATCATTTTGGTTAATCAGTGGTATTTCTGTAAATTATTTTCATTGTAAAAAGAAATACAAGTTAGTTTTCACTTAGTTTAGTCATTGTAAATATAATGGTACAACAAAGAGTAGAAATATATATTGAAAACATTTAAGCTTCTGAAAAACGATACTGGGCCAAGGTTTGAATGGGATCACTTATGTCACAAATTCAGTAAATTAAATTAAACTGTGAAATTTCCTATTAAACATCAGAAGTTTGCTGATTGCTGCTAAGAGGTCCACTTTACTTATCTGTGTTCACCAATATTTGAATTTTTCAAATGGAAATCTAAATATATGTCCAAATATTCTGTTTCTTTCCTCAGATGTTGTCAGAAGGCTCCATACAGTCTGACACCCATTAAAGAGGAGGAAAATACTTTTGAAGAAGCATCTCTGGTTAGAACATGCAGCTCTAACATCTGATGTGGTCACACAGCCTGTGTGCAAATGTGTAGGTTAGGAGAAAAAAAATCAAAAGAATCATCTGCTCTGAATGCACATGTGAATTTCCTCCTCCAATAGGCCAGCTGATTCAATTTAACGCAGATATTGCTTTGCCACATCATGATGGAAGTACAACAGCAACATTATCTTGGTTTATTACACCTCCTCTTCATCACTGCAATTTTTTAAAGAGCACTGGTCACTTTCAGCTGTTTAAAAAATAGAGATTGGTGTATTTGTGTGACTGCAGTTAATAGAAATGTCTCATACAGGTGATATTTAAATTTGAGTCTTTGTGTCAAATGTAGACCAAATAAAATTTTATACATCTGTTTCTTTGTTCATGTATGTGTGATAAAAAAAGAAGTGCAAGAATGTTTTGTTCATTTTCACCAGTTGTCTTTTAAATGCTGCATATTGAAAATATGTTTTATCTTCTTATTTTGTCCAACCATGTAAAATCCATCTGTTTATTCCAAGAGTCGGTCAAAATCAAAAGGAATGAGTCATAGGGAGGTGGTTAACTGCTTTTCAGCTTGTCGAGAAGTAAGGCATTCAGCTTTGGCAATTATTTTAAAGCTGTAAATCTGCTGAAGAAGTAAAACTGATGTTCCATACATCTTACTGCTAAAGCGAGCAAAACACTTATTAATGTGTAACAAAACTGCAGGATTTTAAACCTTTAAACATTGGACTGGAGGCCCTTTGTGAGATTTGTCGATAACTCGCCTGTCACCTGAATAAAAGCAAAAAGTAGCCAGTGGTAACGACCTTAAGATGCGAAGATTTACCTAAGATTACAAGAAAATTTCTCATTGGAAGCAGAAAACCAATCGGAAATTAGCATAAGGCATTGGTACTTAACATAATTGCAGTTTATTTGTAAACTAGTTTTTATTTCACATACCCTTTGGATTTAAATGGTAATAGATTCAATCGTGACTTCCAATGTTCTTTTTTTAAGAGCAAGTTCACGGAGAAACAGGTTTTTACTTCTTTTTGAAATATGATATCTTGAGTTTAATATAAAGGCTAAATAGTCTATCACTATTTCTTGCATTAGCCGCCGATAGAAAATAGACCAGAGCAACGGACATGATGCAATCACCCGTTTAACAAGGGAAAATGAATCCAAAACCTCTTATCAGTTAGTCTTAAAGTTAGTAAAATTCGTTTACGAGCAGCAGTCATAAATTCATATGACACAAACAAATTCACTTGAGAATAAACTGAATTGGCAATACATTTATTGACTAATATAATCACTTCAGCTCCTTCTGAAGCATTTAGCCAATCAATATTAACCATCGTATTTGATCAAACAAACACAAACAATGAAACAATGATATGATAATGTAAAACAATCTGACCCAATAAGTGTGTGTTTTAGTCTTGTCCCCTATCAACGCTAAAAACAAGTACGTATGTGTGTGTGTGGGAGGTAACTTTTTCCCCACCACACTTAAAACCAGGGTGTGTGTGCAGCTTTCACAGTAAACTTTACCAAACACTTTAAAATCACAGTAAAACTTAACCAAAACACTTTGAATTGTTTCTCAGTTCAAGGAAAACAACAAATCAATCAGATTGAATATCTAAAAAGCCTGTCCACCCGGGCCCAGCTTAAACAAACACAGATATCACAATAATAAAACAAACAGACCTTACTTGGAGTTCTGATGGCGGTTTTTGGTATGAAAGAGAAAAAACTTTTTCAGAGCACAGATGACACAGTCTTTTGGAGAAATTAATGCATAGTAACTTTCTCATGAGGGCAGACTCTCAACACTTTACAACTATTGAGTCAGAAACAACTCAGAGGCACTGCTGGGATTTGAACCCAGGATCTCCTGTTTACGAGGCAGGCGCTTTGGCCACTAAGCTACAGCACCTGGTTTGAAAGACAAATGGGACTGCATTAGGCTCTTCTTATGCGAAAATCTTGACATGTGAGAAAGAGTAATTTATCTTGATATTCTAGCTATAGAAATTAATGTAGTACTTCTTGTAGAAGTCAATTCCAGTACTCGTACTCCTGAGGCTGCTAGACCGGGACCTGGTTGACGCTCTGTGTTAATCCGATGTTGACGGATTAAATTACGTAAAAAACAGCCTTAAGCGTGGAATTGTTATGATAATGCTTGTTTAATGTTGATTGCATTCCAGGTGAATGATAGGAGTAATTGCTAACTTTCCCATTCAAACGTCTTCACGCCACAGCGGTCAAAAACCTGTTTGCCCTTCCGGAATAGTGCCTGACACCAACAATGACATCACTACCTTTATTCCGACCAGTAACAATGACACGCCCACATATCAATTAAGACATCGAGACCAAAGAAAAGGACACAACATATTTGGCTCCTACACACCGGCCCCTAATTGTTATTGTCAATAACAATTTAAATTAAATAAGAGTAGGAGCAACCATAATGACCAAGGTCAATTTATACCCCATTAACAAGGCAAAGTTTTGTCACTGGCCTATCAAAAACATTGGTTTTTGTTTGCAACCTGACTGAACGTACCAATCCATTCTTATCTGTAAAGGTTTTCAGAACTCTCCCAAGTGGCCAAGAGCCACGTGGAGCGGAAGGATCCATAATCACAACCACATCTCCAGGGACCAAACTCTTTCTTCTTGCATTCCATTTTTGTCTCTCTTGGAGTAAAGGTAAGTATTCATGGATCCATCTTTTCCAAAAAATGTCAGCAAGATACTGTACTTGCTTCCAACGTCTTCTCATGTATTGATCTTTAGGTTCAAACACGCCTGGTGGAAAAGCGGGTTTACGCTTTAAAAGAAGAAGATGATTAGGTGTTAGAGGTTCAAGATCGTTGGGATCGTCTGAGAGTTTTGTGATTGGTCGATCATTCAAAATGGCTTCTACTTCACAAAATGTTGTATGAAGTCCATCATCATCCAAACGTTGTTGATGTAGTACTGAGTTGAGAACCTTTCTCACTGAACGGATCATGTGTTCCCACACACCACCATGATGTGAGCCTGTTGGTGGGTTAAAACTCCAGTGTACCTCAACCTGTGACAAGGCTCCTTGAATCTTGTCCTGATCCAATGCTGCCAAGGCTTCCTTCAGTTCTCTTCGTGCACCAACAAAGTTGGTGCCATTATCAGATGTCAAATGTGTCACCTGTCCTCTTCTGCTGATAAAACGCCTTATAGCATTTATACATGCGTCAGTGTCTAATGATGCAGCAACTTCCAGATGAACGGCTCGGCTGGACATACAGGTGAAGAGAACAACATACCTCTTGCATGTAGATCTTCCTCTTTTTACTTCAAAAGGTCCAAAGTAATCCACTCCTGTGTTGGTGAATGGTGGCAAATCAGGAAGAAGATTGCACGTTAGTCCCGGGATTCATTATCTCAGACTTTGTGCCTTTGTTTCCTCGGTTTCCATAACAACCCCCCCAGGTTCGCAGCGAAGATGAAAACTTGTACAAAGTTGTAGCTCCCTTAATTCGGTTACCAATGCATTGGATTTTTGTTTTTCTTTTGTGTGCACACAATTTAAATGGCCATGCTCAGCGTAGCGCTACGCATACCTTTGATGGGCGCCGTGACGACTTGTGGCTGCGGTGATCCTCAGCTTGATCCGACGCCTTGATTTCCTCCTCCAAACAAACAGGAAACGCCCTTCAGATCCGCAGTGATCCAACGCACATCCAGTTGCTCCACTTGTCACACAGCTCCCTTTCGACCAGCGACAACAGCGTCCAACGACGTCCACTCATCCCACGGGAGGTTTTTGACTAAATGTAGAAGTCAAGTCCAGTACTCGAACTCCTGAGGCTGCTAGACCGGGACCTGGTTGACGCTCTGTGTTGATCCGATGTTGACTGATTAAATTACGTAAAAAAATAGCCTTAAGCGTGGAATTGTTATGATAATGCTTGTTTAATGTTGATTGCATTCCAGGTGAATGATAGGAGTAATTGCTAACTTTCCCATTCATACGTCTTCACGCCACAGCGGTCAAAAACCTGTTTGCCCTTCCGGAATAGTGCCTGACACCAACAATGACATCACTACCTTTATTCTGACCAGTAACAATGACACGCCCACATATCAATTAAGACATTGAGACCAAAGAAAAGGAAACAACATATTTGGCTCCTACACTTCTCAATGAATTTTTGTTATTACTTGTAGCAGACATGTGGTTTACCTGTGCTTTATTTAGCACCGTCGAAATATGACTGTCTAGGCACCGAGCTTATTCTGCTTTCCCTTAGCTTTCTGTCGTATTTTAATAAAAACAAAGGCACTGCTGGGATTTGAACCCAGGATCTCCTGTTTACTAGACAGGCACTTTGACCAACTAAGACACAGCGCCTGCTGTAAATAAAGAAAAGAACTGGATAAACGTTTTTGCTAAGCAAATATCTAGAGGTTGTAGAAAATTATATTAGTCTTATTGGTAAAGCAATGCAGGCTACTGTAGTACTTCTTAATAAGATTTAGCTAAGACATGTCCCAGAAAAGCATAGCATCTGTACGTCAACTGTCATGTTAACTATTTGATTGTTTACGTCCTGGAATCATTGTGTTTCCACTGTTGTGATTATTAGTCAATGAATATTTTGTAAGCCTTTACTTACTTTTTGGATTCTTCAATAAAATTCGTAAATATGGAAATATTTACCGATTTTATTACGTAATTAGGATATCCGGAGATATGCCTCGGGGCATCACCCTTTTTAACAAGGGAAAATGAATCCAAAACCTCTTATCAGTCGGTCTTAAAGTTAGGAAAATTCGTTTACGAGCAGCAGTCATAAATTCATATGACACAAACAAATTCACTTGAGAATAAACTGAATTGGCAATACAATTATTAACTAATATAATCACTTCAGCTCCTTCTGAAGCATTTAGCCACTCAATATTAACCAACTTATTTGATCAAACAAACACAAACAATGAAATAATGATATGATAATGTAAAACAATCTGACCCAATAAGTGTGTGTTTTAGTCTTGTCCCCTACCAACGCTAAAAACAAGTACGTGTGTGTATGTGTGTGTGTGGGAGGTAACTTTTTCCCCACCACACTTAAAACCAGGGTGTGTGTGCAGCTTTCACAGTAAACTTTACCAAACACTTTAAAATTACAGTTAAACTTAACCAAAACACTTTGAATTGTTTCTCAGTACAAGGAAAACAACAAATCAATCAAATTGAAAATCTAAAAAGCCTGTCCAGCCGGGCCCAGCTTAAAAAAACACAGATATCACAATAATAAAACAAACAGACCTTACTTGGAGTTCTGATGGCGGTTTTTGGTACGAAAGAGAAAAAAGTTTTTCAGAGCACAGATGACAGTCTTTTGGAGAAATTAATGCATAGTAATTTTCTCATGAGGGCAGACCCTCAACACCATACAACTAATGAGTAAGAAACAACTCAGAAGCACTGCTGGGATTTGAACCCAGGATCTCCTGTTTACTAGACAGGCACTTTGACCAACTAAGCCACAGCACCTGCTGTAAATGAAGAAAAGAACTGGATAAACGTTTTTGCTAAGCAAATATCTAGAGCTTGTAGAAAATTATATTAGTCTTATTGGTAAAGCAATGCAGGCTACTGTAGTACTTCTCAATAAGATTTAGTTAAGACATGTCCCAGAAGAGCATATCATCTGTACATCAAATGTCATGTAAACTATTTGATTGTTTACTTCCCGGAATCATTGTGTTTCCACACAACTACTGAGTCAGAAACAACTCAGAGGCACTGCTGGGATTTGAACCCAGGATCTCCTGTTTACAAGACAGGCGCTTTGGCCACTAAGCTACAGGGCCTGTTTTGAAAGACAAATGGGACTGCATTAGGGGTTTCTTATGCGAAAATCTTGATATTTGAGAAAGAGTAATTAATCTTTATATTCTAGCTATAGAAAATAATGTAGAACTTCTCAATCAATTTTTGTCATTACATGTAGCAGACATGTCGTTTACCTGTGCTTTATTTAGCACCGTCGAAATATGCCTGTCTAGGCACCAAGCTTATTCTGCTTTCCTTTCGCTAACTGTTATATTGTAATAAACACAAAGGCACTGCTGGGATTTGAACCCAGGATCTCCTGTTTACTAGACAGGCACTTTGACCAACTAAGCCACAGCACCTGCTGTAAACTAAGAAAAGAACTGGATAAACGTTTTTGCTAAGCAAATATCTAGATATTGTAGATAATTATATTAGTCTTATTGGTAAAGCGATGCAGGATACGGTAGTACTTCTCAATAACATTTAGTTAAGACATGTCCCAGAAGAGCATGTCATTTGTAGATCAACTGTCATGTAAACTATTTGATTGTTTACTTCCCGGAATCATTGTGTTTCCACACAACTACTCAGTCAGAATCAAGTCAGAGGCACTGCAGGGACTTGAACCCAAGATCTCCTGTTTACGAGACAGGCACTTTGTCCACTAAGCTACAGCGCCTGTTTTGAAAGATATATGGGACTTTATTAGGCTTTTCTTATGCGAAAATCTTGATATTTGAGAAAGAGTAATTTATCTTGATTTTCTAGCTATAGAAATTAATGTAGTACTTCTCAATCAATTTTTGTCATTACATGTAGCACACATGTCTTTTACCTGTGCTTTATTTAGCACCGTTGAAATATGCCTGTCTAGGTACCGAGCTTATTCTGCTTTCCCTTAGCTATCTGGTGTATTTTGATAAACTCAGAGGCACTGCTGGGATTTGAACCCAGGATCTCCTGTGTACTAGACAGGCACTTTGCCCAACTAAGCCACAGCGCCTGCTGTAAATGAAGAAAAGAGCTGGATAAATGTTTTTGCTAAGCAAATATCTTGAGCTTGTAGAAAATTATATTAGTCTTATTGGTAAAGCAATGCAGGCTACTGTAATACTTCTCAAAAGGATTGAATTAGGACATGTCCCATAAGAGCATATCATCTGTACATCAACTGTCATGCAAATTATTTGATTGCTTACTTCCCTGAATCATTGTGTTTCCACACAACTATTGCATCAAACACAACTCAGAGGCACTGTTCGGATTTGAACCCAGGATCTCCTGTTTACAAGACAGGCCCTTTAGCAACTAAGCTACAGCGCCTGTTTTGAAAGAGCAATGAGACTGCATTAGGCTTTTCTTATGCGAAAATCTTGATATTTGAGAAAGAGTAATTTATCTTGATATTCTAGCTATAGGAATTAATGTAGTACTTCTCAATGAATTTTTGACAATTTATGTAGCAGACTTGTCGTTTACCTGTGCTTTATTTAGCACCGTCGACATATGTCTGTTTAGGCACCGAGCTTATTCTGCTTTCCCTTAGCTATCTGTTGTATTTTAATAAACACAAAGGCACTGCTGGGATTTGAACCCAGGAGCTCCTGTTTATTAGACAGGCACTTTGACCAACTAAGCCACAGCGCCTGCTGTAAATGAAGAAACGAACTGGATAAACGTTTTTGCTAAGCAAATATGTAGAGCTTGTAGAAAATTATATTAGACTTATTGGTAAAGCAATGCAGGCTACTGTAGTACTTCTCAATAAGATTTAATTAAGATATGTCCCAGAAGAGCATATCATCTGTACATAAACTGTCATGTACACTATTTGATTGTTTACTTCCCGGAATCATTGTGTTTCCACACAATTACTGAGTCAGAAACAGCTCAGAGGCACTGCTGGGATTTAAACCCAGGATCTCCTGTTTACGAGACAGGCGCTTTGGCCACTAAGCTACAGCGCCTGTTCTGAAAGACATTTGGGACTGCATTAGGCGTTTCTTATGCGAAAATCTTGATATTTGAGAAAGAGTAATTAATCTTGATATTCTAGCTATAGAAAATAATGTAGTACTTCTCAATCAATTTTTGTCATTACATGTAGCAGACATCTTGTTTACCTGTGCTTTATTTAGCACCGTCGAAATATGCCTGTCTAGGCACCGAGCTTATTCTGCTTTCCTCTAGCTATCAGTTATATTGTAATAAACACAAAGGCACTGCTGGGATTTGAACCCAGGATCTCCTGTTTACTAGACAGGCACTTTGACCAACTAAGCCACAGCGCCTGCTGTAAATGAAGAAAAGAACTGGATAAATGTTTTTGCTAAGCAAATATCTAGAGCTTGTAGAAAATTATATTAGTCTTATTGGTAAAGCAATGCAGGCTACTGTAGTACTTCTCAATAAGATTGAATTAGGACATGTCCCATAAGAGCATATCATCTGTACATCAACTGTCATGTAAACTATTTGATTGTTTACTTCCCGGAATCATTGCGTTTCCAAACAACTATTGGGTCAAACACAACTCAGAGGCACTGCTGGGATTTGAACCCAGGATCTCCTGTTTACTAGACAGGCACTTTGACCAACTAAGACACAGCGCCTGATGTAAATGAAGAAAATAACTGGATAAACGTTTTTGCTAAGCAAATATCTAGAGCTTGTAGAAAATTATATTAGTCTTATTGGTAAAGCAATGCAGGCTACTGTAATACTTCTCAATAAGATTAAATTAGGACATGTCCCATAAGAGCATATCATCTGTACATCAACTGTCATGCAAATTATTTGATTGTTTACTTCCCAGAATTATTGTGTTTCCACACAACTATTGCGTCAAACACAACTCAGAGGCACTGCTAGGATTTGAACCCAGGATCTCCTGTTTACAAGACAGGCGCTTTGGCCACTAAGCTACAGCACCTGTTTTGAAAAAACAATGAGACTGTATTAGGCTTTTCTTATGTGAAAATCTTGATATTGAGAAACAGTAATTTATCTTGATTTTCTAGCTATAGAAATTAATGTAGTACTTCTCAATCAATTTTTGTCATTACATGTAGCAGACATATCGTTTACCTGTGGTTTATTTAGCACCGTCGAAATATGCCTGTCTAGGTACCGAGCTTATTCTGCTTTCCCTTAGCTATCTGGTGTATTTTGATAAACTCAGAGGCACTGCTGGGATTTGAACCCAGGATCTCCTGTTTACTAGACAGGCACTTTGACCAACTAAGACACAGCGCCTGCTGTAAATGAAGAAAAGAGCTGGATAAACGTTTTTGCTAAGCAAATATCTAGAGCTTGTAGAAAATTATATTAGTCTTATTGGTAAAGCAATGCAGGCTACTGTAATACTTCTCAATAAGACTGAATTAGGACATGTCCCATAAGAGCATATTCAGATTTTTTTTTTTTTTCAGATTTCAGATTTATTGGCCAAGTAAAATTACATTTACAAGGAATTTGTCTTCGGTAGATGTTCGCTCTCTAAAACATACAACAACCATAATAAATGAGAATAAAAATACCTAAAAACACATAAGAACATGTATACCCACACACATGTTCATTTACGCACACACCTATATACATATATACATACCCACACACACACACGCACGCACGCGCACACACACACACACACATATCCATAAGCATACTGATTAAGTATTAAAAACTATAGTAAAAGGATGGTAAAATAATCTACAGATTCAGGAAAGAAATGGCTGAAGGGAAGAAAATGTTCTTGTGTCTGGTGGTTTTTGTGTACAGTGATCTATAGCGTCTGCCAGATGGGAGGAGATGGAAGAGAGTAGATGCAGGATGTGTGGCATCTTGGACAATATTCACTGCCTTTTTCCTGATCCTGCTGATGTACAGTTCCTGGACAGAGGGCAGTTGGGCACCAATTATTTTTCCTGCTGTTTTAATAATACGCTGTAGTCTGCATCTGTCCATTTTTGTGGCTGACCCAAACCAGACAGTGATGGATGAGCAAAGTATGGATTCGACTGCAGCAGTGTAGAAGATGATCAGCAGCTCTTGTGGCAGGCCGTACTTCCTTAGTTGCCGTAAGAAATACATCCTCTGCTGAGCCTTTTTGAGGATGGAGTTGATGTTTGTTTCCCACTTCAGATCCCTGGAAATTAGAGCTGAAACAACTAATCGATTTAATCGATTATAATCGATTATTAAAATAGTTAACAACTTTTTTAGTCATCGATTAGTTGTTTAATAATCATATTTTACCGCATAAAGTCTATTTTTTACCACAATCTGACATCGGTTACAATCTGTTAAATTCGCCGCCAGTGTGTGGCAGTAATGAGCCACTGATCTACCAGTGGAGCCGTAGAAGAAGAAATGAGCCAATAAGTGCCCTCGGTTTTCATGACGTATCACGTTACTGACGCTCATCTTGCTGTGAGAGATGGCGGATCAACAAGAAATACGGAAGAAAAATAGAAGCAACAAAACAAGAGAAACCCCGGACAAAAAACCTCACGAGTATGGGAGCACTTCACTAGATGCCTTGAAAAGACTGGTGACCTGCAAAATATGCAAAAACCATGGCACGACGGAAGCACGACGTCCCTAAGTGAACATTTGAGACGAAAACGTGGGGGCTGATGCAGCAGAGGAATGTCCGGTAAGTAACAGAAAATAAACAAGCTAACGCAGATCACATTTGGGACTTAGTGTTAGCTGAGTTCGTTATAGTGGATGTTAAACATGTTTTTTTTGCCGCGTCAGTTTACGGTGTTCTACTTCTGATTGACTAGATGCAATCGTGAATCTCCTCTGTGTTGTGAATCATGCGCTTGCCAAATTTAGCACGTCTGTTTATAAGAATGTTCTCGTTAAGAGAAAAACGGCACAAACCCATAACTGTGTTCCTCATTCAAAAAAGGACAACTCCGCGGAGAAAAATATACTGATGAGCTGTGTCCAGGTGAATATAACGCGGCATAGTTGTACGCTTTCAATTTTTAAATACAGGAGAAATTCAGAAAGTCCTTTTTTAACTATTAAAAAGCTGTTTTACTATCTAACGCTGTAAAACGCCTCACAACACATTTTTGTCAAAATAAATGATCTCTGTATATTGTTAATTAATTCAAATAATGTAATATTGATTTAGTGTTGTAGTGTCTGTGCTACTTTATTTTATATGTGTACTTAATTCAGTTTATTTGTGTTTCTTATGCAGAAAAAAACAAGCAACGATGGACAACTACATGGGGAACAAGACACTCACCCCCAGCAATGCATACCACTTACAAACTCTATTCCAGATTCTACATTATTTTTTATGGAATTTAGCTCTTATATTTTGATGCCAAAAAATTATTCTGGACTGATATTTTGCACTGTTTAGCTCATTTTACACCGCTGACTGTGTTCATGTGCAATAAAATAGATTGCAGTCAACTGCACAATTCTCTTATGTTTTTCTTTTTCTTAACTGAAATGTATTCATCACTTGTATAGGTTAAATAGCTAAACAATAACAAACCGATTAATCGATTAATCGAAAAAATAATCGACAGATTAATCGATTATGAAAATAATCGTTAGTTGCAGCCCTACTGGAAATGATAGTTCCCAAGAACTTGAATGAGTCCACCATTGACACTGGGCTGTTGTATATTGTGAGGGGGGGCAGCACTGTGGGAAGCTTCCTAAAATCCACGACCATCTCCACAGTCTTAAGGGTGTTAAGCTCAAGATTGTGCTGACTACACCAGACCACCAGCCTCTCAACTTCTCGCTGGTAAGCAGACTCATCACCATCCTGGATGAGCCCAATGACAGTGGTGTCATCTGCAAATTTCAGGATTTTTACAGCTGAGTCATTAGAGGTGCAGTCATTGGTGTACAATGAAAAGAGCAGTGGAGAAAGGACACACCCCTGTGGTGTACCGGTGCTGATCAGCCTTGTGCCAGATGTAACATTGTTCAACCGCACATGCTGGCTCCTATTTGTCAGGAAGCTGGAAATCCACTGACACATAGCAGGGGAAACAGTGAGCTGAGAAAGCTTTGAGGTGAGGATTTCTGGTATAACGGTGTTAAAATATGAGGCCAGAACAGTCTCAATAAGAATTAAGTCACACAACGTTTTCCACAAATGCACACGTTCATTCGGAAATCCACATTCTGTGTTTCACAAATATAATTCGGAGGAACACAAATGCACACGCTCATTCGGAAATTCACACTCTTTGACTCATAAATATAATGTGAAAAAATAAGTCACGCAACATTTTCCACAAATGCACATGCTAATTCTGAAGTTCACACTCTGTGGTTCACAAATATAATTTGTAAGAACACTTGTAATATAAACTCAGATCGTACGAATTGCTGAACGTGCATTCACGAACAGCTTCTCATTTGTGAACCTTCCTGCATTCGTGAGAGAAATCGGTGTGCTGAATTTTGAGACTCTCCTAACGTCGCAGGTCAACAAACGTCACCATTGGCTAATGAACCTGTCAATCAAATATATGCTTCTGCCAGGGCTGTTCGCTTTCAGCCAATGGCTCCTTATGTTACAGAACAGATCTGCTGTGCGCATAAGTCGGACACAATTTCCTGCATGTGTAGCTCGGGGGTGACGATGGATGAAGATATCGCGTTAGCGTTCATACTTGTTCAATTTTCAATTTTAATTCTGGTGCCTGTTAGCAGCTGAAACACATCCTCACATGCTTGTGGATATCATATATTGTATATGGAGACATGACTGTAATAATAAGTAAAGGTTAGCAGCTGTAGCTTCAGTGTGCTCATAGGAAACATGACAAAAGAACACAAATCACATTTCTCTTTATGGCCTATATAGTTGTCATCATCAACGTTACATGATTTACAGAATACATGTGACCAACTAACATTTCATGTTCTACCACCAGATGATTGGATCAAAATATGAACCAATCAGATCTTAGATCAGGTGAGAGCCAGGCGTTTCCCGTCATCCCCTAGGTTTAGCAGCCGAGGGAGAGCAACTGCAGCGCCTTGCTCCAAAATCTGCGGCCGCCTTGATCTCAAGTGGTTATCGTTGCCTACGTATGCATGACGTCAGAGCAAGTCGGCATCAAGTCGGACACAAATCTAACCGGTTACATTACCAACGCTCCACCATATGGGTGGCCTCTTAATAATCTTATTCAGAAAAATTATGCATTTTTACTAAGTGAAAGCAAACCCCGTTAGGGGCAGAGACCTCTTGAAGCTCATATTAAACATTGTTTGCAGAGAAGGTAAGAGAAGCTAGTAAATCATCAGGCCTATTCCATGGGAGTGACTCTGAAAAGGAGCAAAAGCTCCAGCTCTTTATCTTGGCAGGTGTCTCTATTCTCCTGTGTTCAGGCTTTTGGTTACATCAGTTACTTTTCCTTTTAATGAGCTGAATATATTTCTAACACAGCCTTCAGTGACATCAAGAAAAAAAAATAACTTTTTAACTCTAAAAGACATTATTCTCATTCTGAGAACAAATGAACAAACTGTGTGTGGGTATGTGTGTCCAGTTGCAACTTAACACAGACTCAGAAGCATAGAGAATCTTCTCACAACACCTAATCATCCCTTGATCAAAAAACCAGTAGATAGAATCTTGTCATGTTATTCCATTTAATAAGTAGACGGACGGAGGTATAGTACAAGTTTTCAAGTGTAATGAAGATGATCGCAGGGTAACACAGTTCCCCTTAAATGTTGAGCAAAAGTTATGAAACGAGACAAAATTCAAACAATAACATGTAAAAATAAATGGATCTCCTGATAAGTAGGTGCTTCACCTTTAAATGTTTTTATTAGAGCTGGATACACAGGAAGATGCATGTTACTAAACCAACACTAGCAATGATAGCACATTTACATTTTGAAGAATTGTAGCATAGATGAAGTGAACAGCAGCCTTTTCAAATACATTCCTGGTCTAAAATAAATCAGGCTGACAAAGACTTTAAGGAAATACACAACTATAAATGAATTTAGACATCTATTTTGGGGTCTATCCTTTAGCATTTCATATTTACGACGGCAAATCCCTTGAATAACAATATACAGAATATTAACCTTAAAATGGACCACTCCTTCACTTTTAACTTTCTTCCTTCCTGTCTCATTAATTATTTTTCTTTCTTCCTAACTCCCTACCTTCTCTCTCCTTCCTTCTTCACACATGTAATCATCTAGCCTCAAGTAAGTTCTCAACATACTGGACAGTGTGAAGATGTGTCCACTCCCAAAAGAGTCTGAATGTTGCAACGGATTAATGCTGTCCTGCAGTTCCAACATTTCATGATCTGAAAGAGGACTGTCCAGTACAGGGACACTGATCCCAGGATGAGGTTAAGTCATGTATCCGTTCTCCTCCCATTCAATCTCTGGTGTCGGTATACCCTGGAAAAAGAAAGTGTGTATGAGCATTGTGCATAATGAATCTCAAGAAAACACATTTAATAAAGCCCTATCATGACCTTTTAACAATTACTTAACATCAATGATGTCAGGCAGAACCTAGCATCTCCATTATTTCATAAATTTTTTTTTTTTTTTAAATTAATGGGCAAATTTTATGTTAAAACAGCAGTGAGAATATCACATCTGGAAGGTCTAATGCCTTGCATTTTGAACTTGCAGATGCGTCATGACTTTGTAATGTCATGACATTATAGTTGACAGTGTGCACTTCAGTAGAGGTGCACACAAACAGAACCGTAATTTCAACAGCCATTTTGTCTTGAATCCAAGAAGCATAGAGCAGAGGTAGATTATCAAAGTGTTGAACATTTGATTTATAGTTAAGGATCAACTTGACATGTGATCAATCATTTTAACAGAACATACATTTGCCCCTGGATCAGAAACAGGATTCAGAGCCTGGCCCAGATGCCACAGCTGATTTGGTGTCATGTTTTCCTCTGTCCTGATTGGATGGTTGTCCCACGCATCTCTAAAGACATCCAGGCTGGCCTGGATGCGAGACAAGAAAATATAGTGGCAACAAAACATGTGAAGGATGTTACTGATGTCGAGCAAGTCTTGGTCTTCCAGAGAGTGCAGGATGTTGTAATATAGACCAGTAACACTCATGAAGACATCACGCCACAGGCGCTCGATCCTGGATTTGGAGGGGGATTAAATAAAAGAAAATTATAATATACACACAAATTTACATGTCCATACATCCGTTTTCAACTTGAGTTATCTTTTGAATGGTCGCAGGAGGACTGGTGCCTATCTCTAGCAGTCAAAGTGTGAGACGAAGGGTACACCCTGGGCACGTCAACAGGCACAGGCACGCGCGCACAGACACAAAGCTTCCAAATTAGGTTAAACTCACCGTTGATTGTGTACACTTTTTCCTGCAATGAAGCTGTTGGTGTCAGTTCCACGAACTGAGAACATTAATTCTGCAACACCTACATTTTCTCCGCCATGATCTCCTCTCACCATGAAAAAAAAAAACATTAGAATCTTGCTTCAAACATTTTTAATGCACATCTATAACAATCTACATCAATTTGAGTCTCACAGAAATTTCCTTATGTACCTTGCTACTAAGTGAGTAAACAATAAACAATGTGGCATTATTAACCCTCTGCTGGGGAAATTTTTTTTGAAAGAGGGAAATGTTCAACCCCCCCCCCCCCCCCCCCATAGATTTTACTATATGACCTCAAATGGCATGTTATCTTTGGTCAATAACACACTTTAGGCAAAAGCAGATTTGTAACAGGGTAACAGAGGGTAAAGTTGAGAATAACATGAATACCTCAGAGGAAAGCCATGCTCATTCACAGCTTCACTGAAGAAGGCAAGGTGGGTGTCTGCCCGGTTGTTGTCAGCTACCTTCAGGTACATGATCTATGTAATTCAAGCACAAACACTCTCATATGACACATTTTTATAGGGGTCAAAACAATCAATTACCAAATGAAAGGTACAACAGCCATACAATAACATGTTAGATAATTAAATAAGTTAAGACCTGTGAAAACCAAAAATAGCAATTATCTTCTATGAAAATATCTCAGTTATTAACGTTCATGCTTTGGAGCAGAAAAAGTGCATGGCAATTAAATATTACAAGCTCAGTTCGCTCCACTCTGATGGTCACCTGTTCCAGCCAGATACCTTCTTTCTAGGCGTTCAAAGTCGGAAACTCGCAGAGTAAACTGGGTGCTTAGAGGAGTATCTTCAGTTGTTTAAGACTGAGGGTAACGCTGCACACGCTGATTCGACTAGCATGGATGCTAATGATGTAAACATAAAAGAGGGCTTGCTTCGTCTCGCGCGCTAACGCCGCAAAGCACTATGGGATTAGTAGTCTTATTAGCGAAATCGCCCGGCGGGCCAGTTTAATATTATATATTTGATATTTGATTTCGCGGGGCAAATAAAAATAGACCAAGGCCTTGAGTTTGACAACCGTCGCCTAAAAAAATGGTACCTAGATACGCTAACTAAACAAATGTTCACTTGAGTTTAGCTTGATGTTAAACTAGATGAAGAATGGACCAGACTTCACGTAACGTCTGGACTGAATTTAACATAAAACATTTTACTTGATCATGAAGAACGCT